ACCTGTGCGGAGGTCTTATTATATTTCTTCCCAATTTCGGCCAATACCGGCTCGTCAATCAGCTTGCCAATCTGGACTTTTGAGGAGTAGATCTCGTTCTGGTTGCCAAAGGGAGAGTAATGGGTGACGTGGATGCCCTTTGATTTGTGCCATTCGACAAAGGAACGCTGCTGCAGCCAAGGATGACCTTCAAGCTGGTGTACGGCCGGGACGACCGAGGTGTTCTGGATCAAACGTTCCATCTCTGCCTTGGAGAAGTTTGAAACGCCAATGGCTTTGGTCTTGCCGGTAGACAGCAATTTCTCCATGGCCTTGTATGTCTGCGTCCATGCGATCAGTGACTGGGCACATAGGACCGATTTGATGGCAAGAATGTACATACGTCCACGATGTCAATGTTCTCCAGGACATATTTCCCATTTTCCTTGGGGAAGAGCTCATCGCCCCGTTTCCAAGCCACCGGCCAGTGCATCAAGTACAGGTCGACATAATCCAACTGCAAGTCAGCTAGGGAAGCATCTAGTGCTCCCTCGACGTCATCGGGGTGGTGCTTGTTGTTCCAGAGCTTGGTCGTGATAAAAAGCTGTTCTCGAGGCACACCACTCTTCTTGATTGCTCTTCCTACAGCTTTTTCGGTCAAGTATCTGTCCGACGTCAGAGAGAAACAACGCAAAGCCAAATCCACACTTACACTCTCGCCGTGTCAATATGGCGGTATCCTGCTTTGAGAGCTTCTGCGACGGCGTCTTCCTGGGCATGCTCGTCTTGCCAGGTTCCGAAGCCGATAGCGGGAATCTCCGCGCCGGTGTTGAGCTTGAATTTTGTCATTTTGTGCGATCTTCTGATTACTAACAAGGAACTATGTGTAATGAGGTCTCAATCCTAGCTGGCGAGTTAATGATCTAACTAATAGGCGTTTCCTATGGTCAATACCTCTACTTTATAATTGAGCGACGTCTAGAAGCAAGGAAATCGAAGCCGAGATCTTAAAGCAACGTCAGCTTGACGTACAAAGTCTGCCGTGTTGACCAGCTAGCATCAGACCAGAATTCCCTGGCCTAATGCGGACGAATATGACGTCGTCTTGAGACAGACTGACGGCATAGAATAAGGATTTGTTGGTGGCATTTGTTGTTCATCGCAAGCGCTCTACATTTTAACTTGCCAGAGGTCGAAATATTCTAGAAAGACTCTGATTATACCTTGGATTTGAGCTACTCAAGCTCTTGGTTTAGCTTCTATTCAATTGGCATTGCAGGTGATTATCTGAACCGAAGCCAAAATCGTAGTACTCCACATATAAGCTCAACATCCAGGGCGTCGCTCATAGGGCAAAAGAGCTCATTCTCCTATTCAGATAGCTTCAGCCATCAAGGAGATAAATAATTCACATAGTATAACTCAATTGCCATTAATTAATCCCTTGAAAGGGACCACATCTTATGAACGGTCATGGTGTGGTGTTTGAAAAGTTGTCAAACAGCACTTGTGGTACAAGCCGCTTACCGCACGCTAAAGCTTCTTCCTATAAAATTTCATCTCAACCCACAATATTTTTTTACCGACGATCACAGCTTGCAACTACAAGTCTTCCCATCAATAATAGTAAAAGGTATGCGGACTCTGATCTTCACAACTTGCTTTCCTTCATGTTGAGTGATGACTCTACGACACGCTAAGGCATTCCTCAAACTTAATCACCATGTGGAATCTGTCTAAACTTAAGTTTCAGCCTTGTCTGACTACTTCACATCATGCCTGAATTGTTCATCTCATTCGATTGTTGTCCACGATGACTAACGAGCTGTACAATAGGTAAATACCATCTGGTTCACTCCAAACTGCCTTGACAGCCCCTCGATGAAGACATCTTGAACGAACGGGCGGACAGATTGTGTACATCTTCCTCATCCATCAAAAGTAGAGCGTACAAACTCTGCGGATGTTGTGAAGTTGTATCACTTGTTGAGATCTCGTCACCTGAGTTTTTTGCGGCTGTCTTCAGTTATTGTACTTTTGGGCTTTCGGGCACGACTAACAAATTGTACTAGGTACTTTCTATTCTCCCTAGTCTCCCATCATTCGTCCATGTATTCCTCAGTCAACTTTATATGATGAACACGTTTATTCACACTGTTTGATCTGGGCGCTCGCGCGTTCTGGAAATGAACATCATACACAAAAAATCTGATTTAATGAGGTTGGTACTGCGAGGCCCCAATTGCTCCAACATATGCTTACTTATCTCAGCCTGACAATAGTTGACACTTCATCTCGCTTGCATCGCACACGACTCGTGCTGGACAGACTTGCTGATTGTCCGAATTGTCATAGGAACACCTGAATCGTAGTGATTGCTAACGACGTTCGCTGCAGTGTGAGTGCTACCCCTACTATTTTGCCATGGATGCTGTATGATGATCTCTTGATTCGCTGTGTTCTTACTGAATACATCTTGAAGAAAAACATCATTTCACCTTGGAGAACTGATATCTTGTCTTCTCTATTCATCAATCTTGGAAAGCTGGAAGTTACTTTGGCTAACTTATCCTTGCAGACAATTGCTTAGTTATAGGTCCTAGGGAAATGCAAATAGCTTCAATGCTTCATAAAATCTTGAGAGTAGATATCACGTGATAAATGCAACGTATGCATCACTCCATGAACAGACCATGTTTCTTGTGCCACCCTTCAATGCTGTCGTCGCCGTAGACATCATGCACCGATTTCTTGCCCTCTGGCCACCGTACCCAGGATGGCTTGGAGTTTGCCAAGACGCAGACCATCTCGTCAGGAACTGGCAACTCGGTGTCGATGGCAGATGCGAAAGGATGGATCAGCTCCGGCCAGTGATGGTCCCACAGCCAAAGCATAGTACTGCAATTGGAACAGAAGTTACGTTCAGACGAACACTTTGCCTCGTTGGGAGTGCCACGGTCCTTTATGGCGGTGTATTTCCTGCCTTTGTCAGACCGACGCTCGACCAATAGACCTAGCAATCGATGCCAGGCATATCTAGGGTCAATACACACTTGATGAGATCCTTCCCTTTAATGATTTTGAGGCTATCGGCGATGCCTCCTAGGTTGACGCTGCCGCTATAGCCACCAACCTTGCGGCAGATGCTGCATGCACAAAGCTGATAAGGAACAGGCGTTTGAGAATCGAGCGTAAATTCTACCCCACCGCACTGGCAGCTTCCTTCAAGTTTCCTGTGTCCATAGTATCAGTGGTTGCCGGTCTGATATGGACCGCAAGCGGGGAACGGATATGAACGCAGGTGCAGTTTATCAATTTGTGGACTTACATAGGCATCCTGATAGGTATATTCGTGATCAAAAGGTGGAAGTAACAGATCTTAGAGCTGACTGTCTTGAGGGAAGATGTCTTGGACTACCTTACAGTTGCTCAAGGCTGGGGAACAACGTCATGTATATATAGCTCACGTAATGTGGAGAATCCAAGCATAGCCATACGTCTGAGACAATTCATCTAATGGGCAAACATACCAGATCAAGAACATTCTAATCAAACCAGTTAAAAGGCCGCAAGAAGGTCAAGAGGTCATAGCATCAACCTAGGCTCTGCCGTGCAGATGCTAATGTAGCTTTTCGCATCTCCGAATGGCTGATGCGATGATCTCACTTGTTTGGACTGTTTGGACTGTTTGAGAACGGTCGGTTTCGGACTTAATTTTCAACATCTGGGAGCTCAACTCCGTAAAGCATTTACTCATTGGCTCTAGTTCGTCTTTATTTCACAATATCATCACTACTCACTGTCTGCTTGAGTCATTGCTCGTATAATTAATCACGATGAGTTTCGGAAGCCCTGGTGGTGGCGCAACCAATATCAAGCCTACTCCGTGAGTCCTATTTTCACTGCTCCAAATACACGAGTTATGCGCTTTGTGACCGGAGATAAGACAGTAGCTAATCGGATCAACTAGTCCTGAGCGAGGGAGTTTTCCACTTGATCATGAAGGTAACTTCCACTGCCCGTGTTGCCTTTGGATCCCAGAGGAGAAGACCCTCGATCGGATCGTCCCAGCAACATACCAGATCTCGAGGAAACGACACATGCCATGAAATATTGCTACTGCGGATGGGGCAAGACCATGGACTAAAAATTCTACAGGCGAATGCAAGCACCTTATTTCCCAGTATCTGAAATGTCTCAAACTGAGGAGAGGGGTTAACGACGAAGAGTGTCGCAAGCTAGCCAAGGGATATCTGGGCTGTCGAATGGATAAGTATGTTTGGGCCATGCCAATGCCCATAACTGGACCTGGCTAAGTCGCAATGCGAATCGCTAGCCTCGCGAGAACGAGTGCTAATACCCTCGCTCGAGTAGGAACCTTATGGCGCCCGACGACTTCAAAAATCTTGGACTCGTATTTGATAAGGAGGAAGCGCAAAATGACACAATGGCGGGGCAGAATGCAGGGACAAAGTCATAGTACCGTTGGCGACTGAGGATGGGGAATGCACGATATACTGGGGGCATGGTGAAGTCAGCAATACGACTGCCCCAGCTCTCACGACTATTGACGTATCGCACCTGGCGTTCTGGGGATTTACTCTATCTGTATATATTGGACATACGCATCTCTTGTATATCAGCATGCAATCAATGAAAGCCATGCATAACCAATGCGCCTCTTGGGGAGCACCAATCTGCTCTCCTTTTGGACCAAGCAGTCGAACGAAAAGCGACCTTATACCCTGATTCTAAATGTCCCTTTCCAGCGAACACTGTTTTGTCGATTATGAACGATAGATATAGATTGTCAGTGAAGAGCTTTAGTGTCTACACGCGAAATTTGTTATCCTTGAAAGGAGATGCGGGGAAACTTTCTTTCGATCTTATCCCGCGATCGACAACCCCAAACGACCGCTCCTAGATGCCCCCAGCCTCCCCAGGGAGCTCCAATTGGCTTGTGCTCAACCTTTTTCCACAGAAAGCCACACAGGACAAATGGAATAACAACAGCCCATTAAATGTCGTCAATTGCACGTCCACCAGATCCCTGCCTGGTCGCCATCATCTTAATCGTCCGCTCCCGTGCGGGCCCACGCTTCGTGTTCCACTACCCTCCCAACCCACTCAGTGAGAATGGCTTGAGACCCGCGCGAAAGGAACGACGCACTTCGCGCTCGAAGAGCGGACAAGGTTACAAGAGTAATGAATCAAGCTCCAGCGAGGAGAGTGGCTCCAGCTCCGACGATGACGAGGAGGAGCACCAGCGCCAGCTCCAGAGCCAAAACCAGAGCCAGAGTCACCTCAGCGGGAGTGTGGCGTCGGGGCGACGGTCGAGTAACTTTGGCCTCGACGATCATGTCGCCATGTCTGTATCTCCCGGCGGAGATTCCCAGCGCGCTGGGTCAATCGGATCCGGCCGGACGTCGTTTCGCAAACGAGGTGGCAATTCAGATGTCGATGAGGATTCGGGCGCGGCGTCGGACAGGCAAGAGGATGGTTCGGGAGGAGCGGGTGGGCCATACCGCCCACCGTGGGAGTCGCTTCTGGGACTTCCTGCCGATGTCTGGGAGAAGTTATTGAGTCCGTCGCGTGCGTGGCATAAGCGCCGGTTCGAGGTCGGGATCAACGACCTGGCGTTCATTGGATGGCCGGTTTTTGTTCGCGAGGACGGGACGTGGCGGAAACAGAGACGGAAGAAAAAGAAGAAGCGGCGTGCTGAGTGGGAGGGAGGCGAATTGGGCCATAACGAGAATGCAGAGGATGCGCCGGATGATGAGGACGGCGATGCTGGCGGCGGTGGGCTGCTGGCAGCCTCGACTGAGACATTGAGTCCCAAACAGATGACCTTCCCAGAGGCCAAACGAGCGTCGGGATCTAGCAGCAAAGCGGCAAGGTCATCAGTTGACTGCGTGGACGGTGATGACAAGGATTCAATGACGATGTTCAACGTGGTCTTCGTGCTTGACCCTCCTTTACTGGAATACTCCATGCGCACTAGGGAGGTCTACGACAATATCATAAAGAAGTTCGCCAAAGCCTTGAAATGGGAGCAGGCCCGAACTGATTACGTCTGGAGAGAGGCCCAACATATATCACATCTCAAAGAAAAAGCTAAAGAGAGGAGTGAGTCACAATGTCCAAGAACGTTATCTGAGACGTCCGAATGCTGACGCTTCTTATGCAGGAACCTCCCTCAACAGCCTTTACACGGAACTGATCAATCAATCGTCGCTCGCTAGGGCCATCTACACCGTCCACACCAGCATATCCGCATCCAAAATTGCATCTGTTCCGCTGAGTCCGGATGTTTCCATATCGCTTCAGATACCTCCTCTAACCTCAACACCGTATCTGCCTGGACCAACTGATAAAGCATATCCGGGTCTCTGGCTCACCACTGCAGACAGTGTCACCCCCGTGGAGGACCCTACTGCCGATGATACAGCACCGCATCAGGTGCTAGCCAAACACTTTGCGCTGTTGTTGCTGGACAACGAGGCGGCAATTCTCAAGGACGTCGAAGCGTCCGGAGGTGCCTTGGCACCTGCTCTTGCTCACTATCTTCGGTGCTCCAAGCCAACGAAATCCTTTGCGCAGATATCCGCGTCGTCCGGTATACCCCTCTCGACCATACAGATGCTGGCCAGTCATCTTGTTTACTGGCGACGTGCACGCGCCATACCCCCGATTCACCAACGTGATACGTATATTGTATCTCCGAACTGTGACTTGAGCAAGCTGGAAATAGCCACTGCTGCCTATCAAGCAGCATTTCCAACCCTACCCAGCTTGCCCAAGATGCTTTCGGCCCTGAGCGGGACGCCTAGACCATATGGAAGTTTTATCCCGAGCAAAGACCATAAGGAGACATATTTTGCTATCTTGGCGTGGCTGCTAAGAGGAGGTTGGGTGACTCAACTTCGGTCATTTGCAAGGGTCAAAGTCACTCCGGAGATAAAGATGGCCGTAGAAGTTGCTCTTCGTCGTGAAGAAGTGGACAAGTATCTGCGGAAAGGCAGATCTTTGGAGGGACAGAAGCCTGCCGGTGGCGAAGATGGGAACGAGGCGGATGAGAACGACGATGCTAGCTCGTCCTCGTCGTCATCGCTGGCAAGCCAGGGTAGCGGTGAAGAGACGCCAATGCCTGGGCATTACCAGCCGGAGAGCGATCTTCGTCTCTCACATTCCATGCTAGATCGAAACACGTCGCTGAGAACGTCATCTTTGATCCTGTTCCCTCATCGCGCCTCACCGCTGGAGTCACGGTGGTTGGAACAGATTGTCTCCCGGTTTCCTGAGCACCCTAGATCCGTGGGCCGTCATCGCCGGGGAGAAGGGTCGAATGCGGCTGGAGGTGAGATAGACCCTGAGTATGCCGGCCTGAGCACTCCAATGAAGGATCTATGGCCGACCTATATAAAGTATTTCAATGGGCTTGACGCGCTTGAGAAGATCCCCGTACGCGAAGGTCTTAAGCGTAAGCTTGTGTGGCAGGTCCTCATACGCTTGGGCATGGTGACTTCTCCACAGTCTTCGATTGAACTAGACCCCAGGGAACAGGTGCTGGTTAGTGTGAGGCATTGGTGAGCAGTGGTACCTTCGGGAACGGACTTATGATCCTCGGCTCTTCAGCTATAATTGCACCATCACACAGATCATTAATAATTATTTTCACAGAACTCGCTCTCTTGACATTTGAAGTGATGCTTTAAATCAGGCTACCCTTAGTGCCAGGACCCTGTTAGTCTCACGTGAGATAAAATGTTATTCCACCACCGTAGCGTATCTTAGTTTGTCTGCCTCTCTGAAATAAGCAAGCTGTATTAACGGGCTTGGGCTCTGGGTCTTGGATGAATAAAAATAATACTACTACACAGGGACATTGTGACTCCGAAGAATTCCGACATCGTTCGCCCCATAGGTTGTTGGTGATGCTCGGCAGCATGATGCAGGCTCAGCCCTAATGGCAACAAACCATGCGGGCTGCTAAGAGCTAAGCGACTACTTTTGCCATGTATCCGTTAGCGGCATTACAGGTTACAGAATCAACCCATCCACGTTCTTCTCGAACAAATCCATGATGTGACTAGTAGGAATTAGGAATAGGTCTACCGCACTTTCATCCAAGCCATCGATTCTTCCCCACGGCACATGCCGGAATGCCATAATTCGGTGTCTCACGTGATATTGAAAATTGCATGTGTATTACACAGAAGGAATGGAAGAGTCTCATTATGTAACTGTCAGAGCCCTGCAGCTGTATCCCGTAGAAGAGAAAGGCTGCGCATGAGATACACACTAGATGGAATATGCTTGCAATCTGATGGATGAGTCGAACTGTTGTGCAAGATGGCCCGATTCATCAACCCCAAACCGCGTCAGCAGTTACCCAAGCCAGGAAATTTGATCCTACACCTGAAGACCAGGGAGGGATGTGAATATATTATCCAGGGTGCAGCACCGAAGACGGGACAGAGAAGTAGTTATGTACTACTTGAGGTCGATCAATGTTCATTTAAAACCTAGTGACTGAAAAGCAATGTCGCACGAGCATAGATAATAATGATTTACCAGCATGTTGTGTTCTTTTCTGCTGGGAGCTATGCCATGTTAAACAATGACCATACACACTGACAGATGACCCCACCGATACATACCTAGTATATCACCCCATCTGGCTCCTACAAGCCTCCAGAGTCGAGAGGTATTAATGATTGAGGAAACTATCATCTTCATCGGTTTCTTGTGAATTATTCTTGTAAGGGTCAATAAAGTTAGATGGATGTGCTGTTTTGCAAGTATATTTATGCCCGGATACCCTTGAATGGAATGAAGGCTTGGGAGTATCGTTGCAATGTTACTTTTCACAATAGGTGAAATAAGAGTTGTGTCTCTCTGTAGAACTTCAGGGAGAAACAGAAAGTTCATTTCTGTATTTTCGAGGCTATCCACAGTTCGGTTTTATAATGCAACAGAACTCACGGTCCTACAATTCCAGTAGAGCTACAGGCTTGGTTCTTCTTCTTCTTCTTCTTCTTCTTCTTCTTGTTGTTGTATACCTCGTCTACCCACTCAATCTATTTTCGGATACGAAGGTATGTTGGCGCTGTGAGATAGACGTAAGGGAGGATGTTACTTGGTGTTTGACTGTGGTTTGGATGATTGGATGGACGTAGGAGTCGAAAGGGAAATGTACCTGGAGATCTTTAAAGTCCTCAGATTCGCTAGAGTCCCTGACTGGAATCGTGGACAATAATAAAGGGATTGAAGTATAGCGTCGGTGCCTGCCCACAACACCTCATCTATCGGTTGGACATTATTGATACCTAATCCTCAGACGGTCTTATGATTGTAAAACAATGCCTTGTTGTATTTATTAATTTTGCAAAGGAGGGGTAGAGGGGCTGTATTAGCTATCAGAAACCAGAGTTGTACCTTAGTACTTTGATTAGTTACCCGTTTAAGGGTTGAGGTAATGATGTATAATGTCAAAAGGCCTCAGGCCGTAAGACCTCCTTCCCCTCCAGCGCACTATATGCAATGCAATACAATTGGAATAAAAACACTAGTTAGAGGGCCATCGGTTAGAACTACATAGAACTATATATATGGATGAATTGGTGAGTATACACGACCTGTGCTAGGCCTGGTTCCTAAGGAAAGGTAGTAATAAAAATATCAAAAATACCCACAGAAGCCCTGAAGTCCACTAAAAACCTCCCACTCTTCCTGACGGACGTACGGCAACCGGGAGGAACCTTTCGACTTAATGGGATTATTTTGAATTCTACTCCGTACAGGCCGATGAAAGCCTAAGAGCTTTAGGCTTAGACGCGGGAAAAAAAAAAAAGAAGACACTGAACTTTTTTTTTTTTTAACCCGTACCCTCTTTTTTCCCTCTGCATTTGCGGATTCCACAATAACGAATTGGGTTCTGTCTTTTTCCCTTACTACCTAATACTCTCGCTCTCTGTCTTCGGCTCTTCCACATCCCTCCGCTATTGGCAGTATTATTACTACTTTTTCATTTTCCCTTTCTCTTCTTATTTCCCTTCTCTTTCTCTATCGTTGTCTACCCCCCTCCTCCCCTCCCTTCCCCTCACATCATCCTGGGACGTCCTAATTCCTTCGGTTCCCTCCACTCTCATCTTTTTTCTCGTCGCCCTCTTGGCGTCCGTGTTGCTGTTTGAGTTGTGCTATTCGTCAGTGCGACTCCCATTCTTCCGAATTCCTCCTTCCCACAATCCTGCGGGCAAGGGCATATCGATCGGTTGAATCAACACAACCCTTTTTTCCCCCCGTTACTCTCCAGTTATCTTGTTTTCGGCATTGTCCATACAAGACCCTATTTGAAGCTGCTGTCGTCTCATTCTTCGAGTCCAGTAGGCCTTAGGAATCTCACTGCGTTGTCGTCTCCGCCACGTGCAAGTCGCGCTTTTCGGCTTCGCTACACCAGGGACAACACCGGACTTTCCCTCTTCGAAAACCAACGTGCCGTGCTGTCAGATTAGATTTCGATTCGCAATCGTATCTTCCGACTGCCTGAAGAGAACGTTTGAACGCACAGTTGGCTCTACGGACGGGTTGGATCTCGAAGCAGGAATTACGCGTAACAGAAAATAAGAAAGAACAATCAAGGTCCCCGCTCGTTTGAGGTCGAATACATTGGATCGCTACGAGACCTTTCCGTGATTGCCGTGTGACATTTTTGAATTCGTCGTCAAAGTTCCTTTCGCGTCTTCGTCATCAAGACAACATTTTGAACATCCATTCTCAATAGGAGGTCGTTCAGCTATTACCGCAACGAAACCGCTCTCACGATTTCATCGATGGTCCTCGCGTGATACATCCTTCCTACCGAGATTAACGTTCTACACTATCGCCGGCTAGGGGTGTCTCGCTGAGATCTGTTTACCGGACAACGTCTACAGGCTGCAGCTGAGGTTGGAGTGATCCAGTACCGGGAAGTTGCAGTTCGACGGGGTAGCAAGAGGGCAGAAGTCTGAATATTCTGACTGTCGTCCTTGTTGAAGCTTTCTCGCCTTGAATCGGCACACACATTTTCTCTTTCATCGGAGTTTTCCAACGAAGGCACCTGTTCTCTGGCAGAACACAAGAGGAAAACTTCACATTCTATCACGGAGCAAAGAAATAGTCTGCCATTCTTCCGACATCTATTTCTTATTCTTTACTTTCCTTTCGAATTTCGAAAGTAGAAATGGCTGCTACATTTTCTTACGCTCAAGCAGCCAAGGGTGTCATTGCGACGCCATCGGCGGCAAACCCGGCCTCTACAGAGCCAAATAAGCCAGCTCTCAAGGCAGATGAGCAGAGCACAAACTCGAGTGTGCAGATGGAGCCAGAGACCACGGCTCCCACAGCAGAGACATCTCAGGAAATAGAGAAGGCCGCTGCCAGTACCGACAAGGACTCGGAGAGCACAGCAACTGCTCCGTCTAAGACCAATGTTTCCGGGACGTCCTCGCCTAGCGTGGGTCCTTCTTCCACGTCCACAGTACCAAAGGAAGAAGAGGGGTCAAATACACCCAATGGCACTTCCGAGTCAAACTGGGATAAGCAGTCCCAAACTTCAGGAACAGATAAGCAGGACAACGCGCAGGAGGCCAAGGATAAATCTAATGCTTCCGACAAGGACAAGAAAGTCCCTCTGAAGGAGCTGAAAGCAGCACCCTTACCTGCAGTTAACGTTTGGCAGCAACGAAAGGAAGCTCAGGAAGCTAAGGCTAAAGCCACCGCGGCACTCAAGTCCGCTCCATCTGCTAAATCCAGTACATCGAAAACCGCATCTGTCGCCTCCTCGACATCAGGCGATAACCATCAGGAGCTGCCGAAAACCGTCCCTAAGAAGAAGGGAACGGACGCTACATCCGATGGTCCCAAGGACAAGAAGAGGGCCGACGGAGGCAAGGGACGGGATGAGAGTAAGTCTAAGATCCGGTCATTCGTGGTTATTTATCATGAATGTAATCGCTATGGGATTTTGAATCTCCGGAGGGCGAGCCCGCTTTAGTCCAAAATCGGCAAGCTAATTGTGATTCTGTAGATGTTTCCATCCCACCTGTGGGCGATGCCTCTTCCTGGCCTACACCTCAAGTCGCACAAGGGGAAGAGAAGAGAAAGGCTCAGGAGAAGATTGAAAAGAGCCCTGTCATTCGGCCGCACGGCAAGGAGAAATGGATGCCCGTTCCTTATGTACCAACCGCTGTCTTCAACACACCTTTACCATCTTCTGCGCGCAGGGGTGGAAGAGCTGGGCGAGTCGGAAGGGATGGAGCTCGCAATTCCACTCATGGTACGGCTGGTGCTGATAAGGCAGCCTCGGGACAGACAGCCCAAGGTTCTACCGCTAAACAGAATGGCGTTGGAGACAGGGGAAGAAATGAGCTCAACTCCGCTCGCGCAAACTCTCTGCCCGCCCCTTCCAAGCGCTCTAACAGCGTTGACGCTGGACTGGCGGATTCCCGCAAAGGCACACAAGCTGCTGACCGAAACCGTGCACCTAAGGGAACTGACAATGTGAATGGATTGCCGGCTGGAAGACAAGGGGGTGGGAATGAGAATCTCCC